TCGTGTGGCTAAAGCACACCTAGAGTTGAAGCTGGCTGTGTCTGTGAGAGAAAATAAAAAGGTTTTTTTTAGATATGTGAATGGAAAAAGGAGAACTAAAGAATACATAGGGCCGCTCCTTGATAGGGAAGGTCTCCTCACAGACAATGACATAGGCAAAGCAGAGACGCTTAACGCCTTCTTTGCCTCTGTCTTCAATGCCGATGATGGGCTTCGGGACCCAGGGTGCCCTGAGCTGGAGGACCGGGACGATGGGGATGACAAACTCCCAACCGACCCTGAACGTGTGCGGGATTTGCTACTCCACCTGGATCCCTACAAGTCCATGGGACCGGATGGGATTCATCCCCGGGTGCTGAAAGAGCTGGCGGATGTCATCGTGGAACCTCTCTCAATTATTTTTCAACGATCCTGGGAATCTGGAGAGGTCCCGGTAGACTGGAAGCTGGCAAATGTTGTGCCGATTTTCAAGAAGGGTCAGAAAGAAGACCCTAGCAATTACAGGCCTGTCAGTCTCACGTCAGTGCCTGGTAAAATCATGGAGAAGATGGTTCTCGAACGTATTGAGGCGCACCTGGGGGACAAAGCAGTCATTGGTCCCAGCCAGCATGGGTTTGTGAAGGGTAGGTCCTGCCTAACTAACCTGATTTCCATTTATGATAAGATCACCCGTATGGTGGACCAAGGGAAACCAGCTGATGTGATTTGTTTGGACTTCAGCAAGGCTTTTGACACGGTTTCCCATAGGATCCTACTGGACAAAATGTCCAGCATACAGCTAAATAAAAACATAATACGATGGGTGAGCAATTGGCTAACGGGCAGGGCCCAAAGGGTTATGGTGAATGGGGCTGCGTCAGGCTGGCGGGTGGTCACCAGTGGGGTCCCTCAAGGCTCCATTTTAGGGCCGGTACTTTTCAATATTTTTATAAACGATCTGGATGTAGGAATAGAAGGTATTTTGAGCAAGTTTGCTGATGACACCAAACTTGGAGGAGTTGTGGACTCGGATGAGGGTGGAAAGGCCTTGCAGAGGGATCTGGATAGGCTGGAGAGCTGGGCGATCGCCAACTGCATGAAGTTCAATAAGAGCAAGTGCCGGGTCCTGCACCTGGGACGGGGAAACCCTGGCTGCACGTACAGACTGGGCAATGAGACGCTGGAGAGCAGCCTAGAAGAGAGGGATCTGGGGGTCGTGGTAGACAGCAAGTTGAATATGAGCCAGCAGTGTGCCCTGGCAGCCAGGAGGGCCAACCGTGTCCTGGGGTGCATCAAGCACAGCATCGCTAGTAGGTGGAGGGAGGTGATTGTCCCGCTCTACTCTGCGCTGGTGCGGCCTCACCTCGAGTACTGTGTGCAGTTCTGGGCACCACAGTATAAAAAGGACATGAAACTGTTGGAGAGTGTCCAGAGGAGGGCTACGAAGATGGTGAAAGGCCTGGAGGGGAAGACGTACGAGGAACGGCTGAGGGCACTGGGCCTGTTCAGCCTGGAGAAGAGGAGGCTGAGGGGAGACCTCATCGCAGTCTACAACTTCCTCGTAAGGGGGTGTCGAGAGGCAGGAGACCTTTTCTCCATTAACACCAGTGACAGGACCCACGGGAACGGGGTTAAGCTGAGGCAGGGGAAATTTAGGCTTGACATCAGGAGGGCGTTCTTCACAGAGAGGGTGGTTGCACACTGGAACAGGCTCCCCAGGGAAGTGGTCACTGCACTGAGCCTGTCTGAATTTAAGAAGAGATTGGACTGTGCACTTAGTCACATGGTCTGAACTTTTGGGTAGACCTGTGCGGTGTCAAGAGTTGGACTTGATGATCCTTAAGGGTCCCTTCCAACTCAGGATATTCTATGATTCTATGATTCTATACATACAGACCGGGGGATGAGATGCTGGACAGCAGCCGTGCAGAAAGGGATCTGGGAATTTTGATTGACAGCAAACTGAACATGAGCCAGCAGTGTCCCATGGTGGCCAGGAGGGCCAGCTGTGCCTTGGGGTACATCAGGCACAGCATGGCCAGTTGGTTGAGGGAATGGATTGCTCTGCTCTGCTCTGCGCAGACGCAGCGTCACCTCCAGTACTGTGTGCAGTTCTGGGTGCCAGACTATGAGAAGAAAATAAAGCTGTTAGAGGCTGTTTCAGGAGAGGGCTACAAAGATGGTAGAGGGTCTAGAGGTATGTGGAACAGATGAAGTCACTTGGCTTGTTCAGCCCCAAGCAGAGCAGGCTGAGGGGAGGCCTCATGGTGGCCTGCAGCTCCCTCACGAGGGGAGCGGAGGGGCAGATGCTGAGCTCTGCTCTCTGGGGACAGCGACAGGACCCGAGGGAACGGCATGGAGCTAGGACAGGGGAGGGTCAGGCTGGGGGTTAGGAAAGGTACTGCACCCAGAGGGTGGTCGGGCACTGGGACAGGCTCCCCAGGGCTGTGGGCACAGCACCGAGCCTGATGGAGTTCAAGGAGGGTTTGGAGAATGCTCTCAGACATGTGGTTTGATTTTTTGGGTGATCCTTTGGAGACCCAGGATTTAGGCCGCATCTCGAGTGCTGTGTTCAGTTTTGGGCCCCTCGCTACAAGAAGGACATCGAGGTGCTTGAGCGGGTCCAAAGAAGGGCGACGAAGCTGGTGAGGGGCCTGGAGAACAAGTCCTACGAGGAGCGGCTGAAGGAGCTGGGCTTGTTCAGCCTGGAGAAGAGGAGGCTCAGAGGCGACCTTATCACTCTCTACAGATACCTTAAAGGAGGCTGTAGAGAGGTGGGGGTTGGCCTGTTCTCCCACGTGCCTGGTGACAGGACGAGGGGGAATGGGCTAAAGTTGCGCCAGGGGAGTTTTAGGTTAGATGTTAGGAAGAACTTCTTTACTGAAAGGGTTGTGAGGCATTAGAACAGGCTGCCCAGGGAGGTGGTGGAGTCACCATCCCTGGAAGTCTTCAAAAGACGTTTAGATGTAGAGCTTAGGGATATGGTTTAGTGGGGACTGTTAGTGTTAGGTTAGAGGTTGGACTCGATGATCTTGAGGTCTCTTCCAACCTAGAAATTCTGTGATTCTGTGGTTCTGTGGACTCAATGATCCTTATGTGTCCCTTCCAACTCAGATATTCTATGATTCTATAATAAGTGCATTAGAAAAATGACCTGGATCTCCATTCAGATTGCCATGTATTTAAGATTGTCTCTGTTCAGGGAAATACTGTAGTCCACACTTACCTTTGAACATGCAATTAGTTTTGCATTCCTTTTCTGAAAAAGCCTATTTCCCGGGTTAAAGACTCAGGGAAGAAAAAATAGTTTCTTCCTAGAAAAAGGCTAAGAAAAAAAGGGAGGGAAAGGATAGAAAAAAATCAGACAACAGATGTCTTCTGTTAGTTGCTCACACAAATTTTTTGTGTAGAGAGGAGACAGTGGAGAGAGAGACAGAAGAGACTGCACCTGAAATTCTGCATTTTTTGAGGAATTTTGTTTGAAAGACAGTATTATTTTTGATAAAAAATGGTTCATTATTCAGGTTTATACACTGCTGGTACGTGAACAATGGCAATGCCTATGCTGACATTTAAGGTTAACATGGAGGCTATTTGCTGCCATACTAAGCTGCATGAACTGCCTTTTCCTTCTTGTCACTGCAGCCATTTCCTCCTTGTCACTACCCCAAAACCATCCACTTTGCACTACTGATTTTTCAGCTTTGTTAGTGTTTTAAGGGATACACTGAAATTTGCATGATTCTATGATATCTGAATGTGATTTGTGAACCACTCATGTGAGGAGGGGGTATGTCAAAAGGCTGGCATCGGAATAGAGAATTTTGGGGTTGCAGCTGGTTGGCTTCCTGGGCAGGGAAGCCTAGGGCTTCTGGAGAGCAGTGCAGCTAAGGCAGTGACCCTGTGCAGTGGAGAGAAGTCTGAAGGAGGGGCTCTGGACCTTTTAATGAAGCTGGACTGAGTAGGAACGGTCAGGTGCAAAGACAGAGTGTACCAGAACTGATTTTTCATTTGACAAAGCATGCTTCTGTTGTACAGTATTTCTTCCATTAACCTCAAGGACTAGGTTGCCTGTTAGGCAGAAGCACACGAGCTTTCTACTCTCATGGATTACAGCAAGGAGCTGGGGGTTTATGTCACTTATTCTACTTGAGTTTTACACCCTGCTATTTGGATTAGAATATTTGTGCTTTTGGCTCTCAGTGGCTGTCTGTGACAACCACCAGCCATACTTCTGTTTACAGTCATTACCACAAGGCAATTGGAAACTGCAGCTCTGTGGACGAGATTATCTTCTCTCTCATGCTAGGTTTGTCTTTTACTGTTACACAGCAAAACAAACATTTGTACAGCTAATAAAACCCTTTTTTAGAGACAGACAGAAATGTTGCATCCTGGTTGGGTGAGCTTTTGATGTAGGACTCAGGTAAGACAGGTTTACCATTAATGTTGATACGGATGAGGTGATAAATGAGGGCTGTCCTCCCCCCCTTGCTGCCCACAGAGTGCTTTGCCCAGTGGTCTTTGGTTAGTCCTCTGTAATCAGACATGGAGGAGCCTCCTGGGTAATAGCAGTGAGATTTAGATAAGAATCCTGAAGCAAGAGGAGGCTGGCATCTTTGTCAGCTTCTAGGAAAGGAGAGCCTTGCGAAATGTTTAGTCAGAGGCTACAGCACTTGCCAAGGCTCTTAACTAAACAGCAATCTAGTTAGATTTCCTTCAGTTTGTGGATAAAAGTGATAAAACAATGCCTAATTTCTCAGGATCATACAATCCTTGTTTTATGAAATTGTCAATGAACAACTCCATTTTTGTCACTGAGAAATATAAAATTATAAATGAAAGAGATATATGTCTTTCAGTGTAAGGGACAGTTTTGAACATGTGCTATAACCTTGCCTGTCCCACAAGAATTAGTGTTTCATTGTAATTTTTTGGCTTGTAGAAGGAAAGAAAAGAAGAAAAAACCCACAAACTTACAATGTAGAAAATATGTGAAAAATAAAGAGCCAAAAAAAAGCTCATTTGATAAAATTGCCTTTTATTTTGAGCTTACATTTTTTATCTTAAAAAGATATTTTTGATGGCACACAGCTTCAGAAGAAGCACCCTTGCACTTACAATCTGCGGAGAATCCCCATTGATTTGTAGTTCTCTGATTCTGACTTAAATCACACAGAAAATCTTACTCTTCCTGTTTTCTAGGGAAGGCTTGACAGCACAGTGCTGCAACAAGATTGCATGTTATGAGGGCTCCATTCACGAAATAGATTTACAGAACATTAAATACAGCTTTAGTATTTCCATCATAACAAAAACTATGAGTATGCCTATATAAATACACAGTGCAGCTTTTGTGATGCGCTACCCTTTTCCTTCTTTTTTTTTTTTTTTTTTTTTTTTTTTTTTACACTCCAGTTCACAAGAGCATCAGTAGTGCAAATTAATGAGATTTTACTGTATACCTATCTTGTAACAAGCTCTTGGATGTATTTCAGCTGATGTGTTTGATGCCAGTGCAATGAGTTAATTTTCAATGTCTTTGTTGGTGAGGGATTTCTCAAGCTCTTCTGCAGGGTTGGATTTCTTCTGGCTTGGGATTGCAGGTAGGACACGGCTTGGTTTCAGAGGCTCTCCTGATAGACCAGGCAAGAAAGAATATAGCATATGACTCTGAGAATGTCCCCTCTTCTGGGATCTAGAGGTTGGGGCTGGTGGCAGAATGACAGCTCCAGTCCTTAAGGAATTTAAAGGCAGGGATTTAAACTTCTTATCACCCTGAGATGGTAGCTGAACTACAGAAAAAAAAAAAAAAGAAAAAAAAAAGAGAGAGAGAGAGAAAGAGTGTACAAGAATGAGAAGCATGAAATTTTTACAAATGATATGTTGTTGCTTTTTTTGAACTGTTATTTTTTGTTGTTGTTGTTGTTGTTGTTGTTGTTGTTGTTGTTGTTGTGTTGTATATAAATAAACCCACATTTGAAAGATGTGATAAATATATGGGTAAAAAGTCCCTGAAGTCTGTCAGGGCTAATCTTCAGCTGAAGAAAAGAATTCCAGTATCAAGAGATTTACTTCATGTTTGGTGATCCCTAAGACCCAACAAGGTCAAAGGTTTACTTTTGATAAGCACAGAATCTGTAGTTTGTCTGAAAGAGATTCGGTCTGTTCAGAGAGATTTCCAGAAGCCATTTTTTTCTTCAGAAAATGTAGGGTTGACTGAAACAGAAATATTCCATGGAAATATATTAATTTTAACACAACTTTTGTGTGTGGTAGGTGGTCTATAACCCTCTGGTAAAAACATTAGGAAGATGAAATGGAAGAGCTTGGGAAAATATCTTGGTTTCTCTAGGCACAGTCAGTCATGAAGGTAGGTACAAACATCTGCTCTGCGTGTCACAGGGCACAAGAGCAGCCCAATACAGCACACTTAAGACCGGTGCTGAGACACAAGAGCTGCAACTGTTGCATGTCTTGTGCTTGTCAACAGCCTTGTGAGAAACTGAGGATTTAGAGCATCCTTCACCTCCACCTCACATCCAGCAGTGTAACAGTGTTTGTGCTTTAGGGTTAGTACAGTTCTGTGCCTTCTCTAAAGAAGCTTGTCCTCAAGCTCTTTCAGTCAGGCAACTTGTTAACTAATCACACAAGTTTTTAAAAGGAGAATTCAAAACCTTAATGGTAGACCTCTTTATCTCTGCCTTAGACTTTGTTGTGGATTACATTAGACTCTATTCATTTTATTCACTGTTTAATTCACATGCTCTTTGCCTTGGCCATTCTTTTTTTTAAAATTTATTTATTATTATTTATTTATTTATTTATTTATTTATTTTCAGTCTAGCCATGTCAGAGATTCCCAACAAGAGTTAACACCTATTTTGGTTAGAGATCCTTCCTCACTATTCTTCACATTCGTTTTTCCTTGGTTGCAGTCTCAATCTACCTGCAATTTCCTTCCATCTGCACCTGTCATGATGAATATACAATATCAATGTTTGTGTCTGAAATGTTTCATGCTACTAGTCGTGGCAGCCTCCAGAAGGTTATCTGGATTTTCTGCCCATTTCGATAGCTTTTCCTTTGAAATTAGCCACAAATGCTTCCTAGTGGTTAGGTATTAAAAGCCATTCTCTGACTGGTATCATGTTGGTGTCCTGGTTCTTTGCATGCAGAAAGAGTTCTGCTATAAAGTACTCTGCTCAAAAGGTGACTTTCTCAGCCAGGTGTTATCATTTCATTTCCTAGTTAACCCCATTGAAAACCTGAGTATTCTTGTTTACATTTTTCCCAGCAGACCCTTTGATTATTCCTTTTTCATAGTGAGAAATTTTTCTGGTGCAAATTGAAAGCAATTCTACACAAATTAAGAACGGAGAAAAGTATCCTCTCTTAATCCTATGAAAATCGTGTGTAATTTCAGAAAAAAACATCTTAAGATAATCCAGACTTTTACTGTTTGAATAGAGAATAACATTGTAAATAAACTCTTTCTTATTAGAAATAACAGGCCAAATAATCAATTGGTATGAAGTGAATTGGTAAGTACTGCAGTCAATGTGTCTGTAAAAAGCTGGACCTTGTAAGTGAATTTTAATGTCAAAAAAAATATATATAAAAAAAATAAAAAAAATCCCCCCAGATAAACTAAATGTTAAACACATTTGAGGAACTTATAGACAGAATAGTGGGTAGAGTATCTTGAAGGCTGTAGATTAAAAAGACAGAAAAAAAGGGGTCTTCAGGATTTCAGATATATTAATCTAACTTTCATACATAATAACCTGTCTGTGCTGGTGTTTCTCAGAAGTGAGTCTTTGAAGATATAAAGTCAACCTTCTCACTGTTCATCAAACAACATCAAAAAGAGTTACTTGGGGTGTAATAATTTCCTGGACAACAGGTTTACGGTGCAAAATGACCTTGATAAATTGGAGAAATGGTAAGAAATTTAGATAATGAAATTCAGCAAAACAACATGCAAAGTACTATACTTAGGACAAAAAAAGAAAAAAAGAAAAAAAACACAATCCAAGCCACCAAAAGTACACATGAAAAATGGGAAATAGCTGGCTGGGTCAGCAACAGTAGTACAGCTAACTGGGGATACAGGCTGTGCCCAAGTCAGAAATAAAACTGCAAAGTTTCAAATAGAAACCCCGCAGCTTCTGTGCCACAGTAAAGCAGAAGCACAACAGTTTTGTCATGCAAGCACTTTTGTGCTAGTAGATTTACCTAGCGTATAATTAAGGAGTCAGAAATTTGTTCCGTTGAACACAAATGAACCTCTCTGATGTCTTTAGTGAGCACTAGAAGAGTTTTGCAGACATGGATTTTTTTTCACTATATACATGTACATTGTGACAAAGAGGCTGAAGTTCTCCTTGCCATCTTTCCCTGTACACATTACATCTTTTTTTATTTACTTATCAGGGGTGGTAATTGTCTAAGACTCACCAGATGTCTATCAGGGGCAAAGCAGAAGCTGTTTCACAGAGAGGATTTAAAAATTTGGAAGATTTTTTTTTCAGGCTAATTTCAGTACAATTCAAATTGTGATGGCCAGAGCAGGCAGTATTGTACTGGACCTCCTTGTCCCTTGTCAATTTAATGTAATTCACAGATTATGTTCAAGTTTCATTTCTGTTCAGAAGTTCAGGAAATGGCTTAGCTGTTGCTTCCAACATCAACAAAAAAGCACCATTAGTAATTTGCTTCAGTTTATATATTTATATATATTTGTGTGTGTGTGAGTACAATATAGTAGCCTGTATCTTTTCTGGCACATGATTAAAATGCTTTGGGTTCACAAAATTTTGGCATGAAAGCCAAATGCATGCTAAGAAGGCCAGTTATTTCTTTGGGGCATATGCATATGTTCATGCATTCAAAGTTTACACCTGTGTGAAACATCTCCAGAACACTTTATGTTCTTGATAAGCCTTAATGGTGGGTTTAAGTAGGGTGTAAGCAGTTTAGTTTGATTTCACCTCCATGCCTTCACAAACCCATACTCCTTGAAGAAAGGAAAAAACATCAGCCTAACGTCCATACTCTCCCCTAACATGGATCATGGATCCCTAATGCATGGATGATAGTGAAATTTCCAGTCATGATAAATAAAGGCAAAAGTAACTATTGATCCCCAGAAATTGTTGTTAAATGACCTGCAGAAATAGCTTTTTTTTTTTTTTCTTTTTTTCTTTCTTTTTTTTTTTTTTTTTCCCTACAAGTAATAGCCCCAGTGTGGCTTTAGACTTTCTGTGCCACATGAAGAAGTGAGAACAGCAGAGAGTTCTCTTGAATTTCCATATTTGCTTGGAAAATGATTCTGGCACTGTGAGAGTGGTGTGTGATGGCTGTGAGTTTGCTATCCAGGGGTTCTTGGGAGAGTTGCAGGATGAGGTAGGAGGGGTGTTTGAGTGGAGGAGCAGCAGCATGCCGCGTAACAGTGATGCTAGGTCATGAAAAGGCTACTCATGAAGACATTTGATGTACCCCTTTGGCCCTGGAAATGTCTGGAGTGTGAGAGTTCATAAACTATATTTTAAAGTTATTGAAGTATTCTTTTCCTAAGCTACCATATAATTACTATTGTCTTCCTCCTAACCTGTATCTTTAAATATTTTTACTTGGAGGTTAAAGCATCTCTTCCCGTTTTTTTTTTTTTTTTTTTCTTTTTTTTCTTTTTTTTTCCATTGCCCTTCCTTTTCTGGGAGATGTTTCTTCTTTTTGTTTATTTCTGAAAAGTTTCAGTTCTCTCTCTAATTTATGCTTATTTTATCTTTCCAACTCAGTGGCTTTTTTTTTTTTTTTTTTTTTTTTTTTCCCTCCACTGGTTTTGTTGCATGTATTTAGCACACATCTAGTGTAACAAAAGAAAATACTAGAAAAACAAAAATGTTTGTACTCAAACTTCTTTGCTGGAACCATATGTCTGAGTAATGGCTGTGTCTGGAACAGTAATATTTTTAGGGCTGGATGGTGACTGAAATCTTGGCTCTGAAACAGTTACTTGGAAAGCTCCAGGATGAAATGTGTCATTTGTATTAACAAAGAAGAAACATAATCTATTTTGCAAATAACTTTCCTTTTCTTTTATTAGCTTGATCTGATGTTCAAGCAGTAATGACACCTGGATAAATGTGCTATGTTAGTTCATTACATGATGATTATGAACTATAATAGTTATATCTCATTTATAGAGCACTTTTTTTTTTTTTTTTTGGCATGAGACTAGAACTAAAATCCTTGTTGTCCGTGTGAATTTCTGCAAAAACACCACTGATTATGAAATCTTTTTTTTTTTTTTTTTTTTTTTTTTTCCTTTTAGGATTTTGCTTACAACTATGTTAATTAGAAAACATAAAGAATGTTAATAAAAAGCTTGAAAACAAAAAGAAGACTTGGAGCTGGGGTTTTCAAAGCAGTTAGAAGATTTTCCTTCTCCTGAGGAGGCAGGCAATACCACCTCGGTATTCCGCATGTTATTCTTCTTCCTTTCTCACTTACTGTGCAGCAGCAGTGGAGGATTCTGCATTTCCCCTACCCAGTCTGATGTTCCCTATAAAGATACCTCTGCTGTTTCATTTTTAGTAATGTTGTCATAGCTGCAGCACGGCTTCAGAAGCTTACATCATAAGAGGCTTTAGCTTTGAAATTTCAATGCTTTCGGACCTAGCAGATCTGCAGAATGGCAAATAGCAAACTGCAAATCCTTGTTCAAAATACATGGAGGGATTTGGACTTAGTGGAGCACAAGAGTGTGAGGGCAGGACACTGCTGGGAGTAGTGTTTGTATGTGAAATTTATATGTGCATCCTGCCTGGGACACTCACTAAGTCTTGGCACTCCTCCTGTGCTGTTGGAGCAGGGTGAGGCTTTCCCTACCCTTTGGGATCTTTCTTCTTACTTCCTTGAGGATGAAGACCTGGCTGATAGTGCAGAAGAAAAAGGCTGATGCTCTCTCAGTCCCTTTATTTTAGTTCCCAAAACAGTCCGTTCTAGAATGAGAGAAGCGAATGGTTCCCATCCTTGTGCAAGAGCTGGTCCAGCTGCTGTGCTTAGGATAAAGTGAGGTCTGTCTTGAAAATCATCAAGGATCATCTGTTTCAGAAACCTGATAATCTCAGTGTTATCCTCTTTCCTCTAATTTTCACTAGCAAAAGGATGCAAAAATCAGTGTCTGTTATGATATTTTTCATGCTGTTTGTAAAAGAGCCATTCCTTATCCTGGCTTTCATCCCAAATACCCAGCCTTTCTCTGGTGTGCAGTTTTGAGGGTGTTGTCATCCATCTCCAATGACCCCTTACATAGTGCAAGTCACTGTGTTACATTAGGTCCTACCCCCTGTGAAACACTACGAGACATGTAGGTATCCACAAACCCTTCTGAGAGTGAAAAATCCCATCTCTGTGAGAATTCCAGTCTCTGCTCTGGAAAACAAATGCAACACCAGGCTTTCCTCTCTGCTGATTTAGATTATATCTGTTAGATCAGCTCCGTGGAACTCACTGGAGAAAAGGGTTGAGATCAGCAGCACAAAGTCCAGCTGGAGGTGGGCCAGTCGCTAGTGAGATACCCCTGGATCTGATACTAGGGCCAGTACTGCTTAACATTTTCATTAATGACTTGGATGATGACACAGAGTGCGTGCACAGCAACTCTGCAAACAGTCAAAATCTGGGAGAGGCTGATACCAACGATGGAAGTGCTGCCATTCAGAGGGACCTGGAAAGGTTTTTGAAATGAACTGACAAGACTCGTGATATTCAATAAAGGATATTTTGATATTCAAAATCCTGCACCTGGGAAGGAGTAGCACCCTGCACCAATGCATATAAATGCCTGACTGGGGAAAGTAAAGAAGAGGGGTCAGAATCTTCTCAGTGGTAACCTATGAAGGCAAAACAGTCAGTGGGCACAAACTGAAATACGGGAAATTCTACTTAAACATAAGATGAAGCTTTTTACTTCAGGGGCAGTCAAACACTGTAACAGGTTGCCTGGAGTGGTTGTGCCATCACATCTTTGGAGATATTCAAAACCTGTGTGGTCCTGAGCAATCTGCTGCAGGTGGCCCTGCTGTGGGCAGGGGGTTGGACTGAGCAATCTCCAGTGGTGCCTTCCAAGAAACCTCCCTCAAGCACTCAGCTGCCACTTACGGAGGCGCACAGTATGATACAGCACATGAGACTTGATTGTACTTACTTTTTTGAGCACAGTGGTTAGATATAGGAGCTAGGCTGTTCCGTACTGGAGAAAGATCTTTTATTTTGGGTTGGCCCGTGGACATCTGTTGAAAGTTTTTACCTGTGGGAGAAAAAGAGAGTCTATTATTGTAAGAAAATAGTTGTGAATAATAAGATGCACAGTAGATCTCTGGTTTCTAAAGAAAAAAAGTATTTACCAGGGATATGTAATAATAGGAAAGAAATGATTGAAGAAAGCTCTTTACATATTTAAAAAATGACTGATTTAGTGTAACTTCTGTGCGTACACTTGCTCTCATATAATATCATAATTGGTGTTTAGACATGTTCCAGTAGCCAGGTCCACATAAGAATATTTGGATGCTAGATTTGAAGAAATGTTCAATTAGACAGATTTAATTTCAGAATAAAATTGTAGAATCCTAGAATCAGAGAATGGTTTGGGTTGGAAGAGACCTTTAAAGATCACCCAGCTCCATCCTCTCCTGCTTGAGCAGGGGTCCCTCCCACCAGACCAGGCTGCCCAAAACCCCATCCAGCCTGGCCTTGAGCACCCCCAGGGATGGAGCATCCACAGCTTCTCTGGGCAGCCTGGGCCAGTGCCTCACCACCTTCTGAGTGAAAGCTGAGCTCAAAAACTTTTCTAATATTGTCTCTGCCTTTCTAAGCACTATAACACAGAGTTCAACTCCTGGTTGGAAAATCAGGCTAGAGGAAGTCTGTCAGCAGATTAGTTTTGCTGCAGATGAAATATAGCAGAACTGATACAAACAGATAAGGATTCTTATTAAACTATGTTTCTGGCAATTTGCTTTTACCAAGAATAGACACTGGAAATAGAAATTTTCTAGCTGTGGCATTTTACTGGCTTAGACCAAAGCTGACTTTGGTCTAGTGCTGTTAAAATAGACTATGTGTTAGGTGATATAATGCATTTCACTACACAAACACCGCATCAAATATTATTAAAAAAATAGAAACTCAAACTCCAAATCAACATTTTCCCCAGATCCTTTCTCCGACTTGATCATACTGAGTGGTGTTGGCATCTCTCAGATTTTTCATTTTTGTTGTCCCCAGATCTGAGGTGATCCATGTAAGGAGCCTTGAGATGTCTTCTCAAACCGCTGCTTGCCCAGCATGGCATTGCAACACAGCTCATTGCAGAACAAGCATATGTTCTGTTTGCATGCAGAGATGAAGGGAGGCACAGGCTGGATCTAGTAGAACATGTTAAGCAATAACAAGAAATGAAATGATACAAATTGCTTTGATGGCTTTGTGGCTGGTACTTGAATACATCTGTGTATTACTGGCCTGGCAAGCTAAACCTATAGAAAAGCAGTTACAGAACAGTGTCCTAGAAGTAATTACTGAAGTAATTGTCAAGACTGCTGTACAAGCGTTACTAGCTAAATGGTTTCTGTGTGCAAAGAGCTAAGTTGGTGTAGACCAGATAAAACCCACACAGAGCAGTGCATTCTTCACCTTGGCATGGAACAAGATCCTGGTCCAAAGCCTACAGCAGCTGATAGACATTGGATCATTCTTTTGGTTCCCATGGGTAAAGCTAATGTGTATTGAGCTAAAGCACGAAGAGTCTGTTATGGATGAGCTGCATCTAATACAAACAGACTTTGTTCTCCTTTTCCCATGTTTTACTCTTTATTTGGTCTTTAATATCTCTCCAAGGTAATCACAAGGTGTGTGTAAAGGTTGGTAAATGTCTTCTACACATATTGCATACTCTGTGCACAAAGAAATAATTATATTGACTCCAAAATAGAAGAAAATCAAGCCAGCTGCTCCCATTAGCAATTCAAGTTGTATTGGTTTTATTGCGATGCTTACACTGAGCACTAATGCCTTATTATGTATGTACCATTATGGCCTTGATGAGGGCAGGCTGTTTTTTTCTATCAAGAGATATATTTATTTCATAAATGGGGTTATCTGGCAGCAAAACAAAAGTACAAAGCATAATCATATTTGTGAGGCTGATATGAATGCTTGGAAAAAAAAAATGTCTACAGGTTCTGGCATCAAGTGGAACTATTCTTCTGTTCTTCCTTCCTATATGCTTTACATAATATCAGAGAAGAAAAGGATTCTTCTTTCTGTAAGACATTATCTTTGTCACCCCTGAGGGCATATTTATGATGGCATCTGAAATGGAAAAGAAGCAATTTCTAATTTCTTGATTGTAAAGTGCAGGACTGTTCACATTTTGTTTATTGACTTTTTTTTTTTTTTTCTTTTTTTACAGTTTGATCTCTGATTTTCCTTCTTGTTGGGATACACATTTGCATTATAATTTTGTTTGTTTGTCTGTTTTGTGGAAAAGCAGTGACATTATGGTGAATGTCTCGCTGTAAATCAGTTCTTCACTTTGAGTAAGAAACAGCCACATTGATCAGTGTTGCTCTACTCTTTCCTGACATGAACTGTTTCCCTTTTGACTATATCATACTGCTTACGCCAACAGACGAGTAATAATAGCCTTCCTTTTAATGTTACCTATTCAAGCAACTAGAAATTACTGGACTGCTGTACAAACCTATTAAAAAGTATTGCATTAGACCTGGCAGTTTAGTAATCTGCAGGATGAATGGGTGATAGAGGGAGGCTCCATCCGGTTAGAGGGTGGTAACAGCTGCCTTTTTGTTTGAGACAGCCCTGCTTTGTCCACGTTACCAGGAATTTCTTCATTTATACCATTTTCCCAATGAAAAGTAGGTGGCAGTGCATTTTGCAAAAAGAGATGATTGCAAAGGTCACAAATGCAAAACGTTTCAGATGGTGGCTGCCAGCTCAGCCCTGTGGCTGGCAAGGACTCCTCCTGCAATATTGGCAGTCATTTTTGTTGCAGTCCATCTCTGTTCAACTCAGCAGAGTAAGACAAAGCAGTTATTCTGAGATAAACCACTAGTGTGATAGGTGAGTCTCACTCCTACCCACAGCAACCTCTTCCCTTTGAATTTCGGGCTGGGCTAGTAAATTGACTCATCTTTCATTTCCAGGAGCACAGAAAACAGAACAAAAAAACCTCTAGAAATCCCCCATTGATATGCCAGCTGCCCTGGTAGCAGTGAGTACAAAAAGTAGCTCTGACTTTAATAAAAGGCGTGGTCATGCAAGACAATCAACACCGTGTGTTAGCTAAGAAAATATTTTTCAGACTGAGCTCCCCTAGCTTATCGACACCCACAGTCCTGTCTCAGATGTTGAAAAGCTGCGCGCAGCCCCCACAGCCATGCCTGGAGAAATAGAGTATTAACACTTCAGTGTCCACCAAAGACCAGATGCTGTTTTCCCCCTCAGCTAGGCCTCCTGCAGGAAAAAAGCAACGAGGAAATGTCTTTCTGAGAGCGCTGCCTGCGCGGTGCTGCTGGCTGGGTTGGAGCCAGGGCACGGTTTTCTTCTGATCCCTGCAAGTCGTGCAGGCACAGCACTTCTGTGCGCTGGAGACCTGCAGGCCCTGAAGCTCATACAGTAAATGCAGTTCTAATTCACTGCAAGGCAGGTGGCTTTAATTACAGGGCAGACGGATTTAAACCACACACATGAGCATGAAAAGGGATAAGCTGTTCTTTTTAGCACGAGAAAATGTTAGACAATATCTGGGTTGTGCAATGTATTCCTGCCAGACACTCTCTGCCTCCTTACATGCTTTTATTTCATTCACTTCAATGGAAGTCCTTTATGCCAGCTAAAGGAATTTTTTGTTGTTGAAAAGTTTCGTTAAAGGCAGCAGGTACACAGAAAGCTGGGCTTGCAGCAGTCTCAGGCTGCTTTCCTCTGAGAAGATAATAAACTGCCAGAGCTCTGTTCTTCATCTGGACAAAGAAAAGCTAGCTCCCACTGCAGTGATTAGAAGATTTTCCATAACTGATGCGATTTTCCCTCGTTCATGCATGTAGACTGCTACTCCTCTACTGAGTCCTAGTGCAAGTGATGGAGTCTGTTCTCAGTCACTGGCCTGTTTTTTGTTTTGGTTTTGGTCATAGGATGTTCTTTCCCAAGAAAAGAAATGGGTGGGACGGTACTTTCCCATAAGAAGTATTCATAGGCTAGCTAATTCCACCAAGAAGTATTCCCCCATAGTCACCCTCTGGTATGGTTTATCCAGTTTTAATTCATTCCTCCTCCTGCTGAACAAACAAAAGATCTCAAACATCTCAGCCTCACTGGGCCCTATTATATTTGGGTTGCAAGGAAGCCCTGCAGGTTTTCTTGTCTGCCACATGTGAGCTGAACCTTGCAGACTTCAGCATAGAAAGAATAATGCTGGAGCAATCCTTGATAGCTATATGTAGTTTGAGGTTTGTATGGTTGAGTGAACAGCTGAAGAGTGCACAGTAAAAAAGTAGTTACACCTACAGACCAGGTCTATCGAGTTTTCAGGAACTTGGCCTGATGTTCAGGAAGTGGAACTTTTTGAATAGCTTCTTTTTATGCTGCAAAACTATTTCTGGCCTTTAGTTGCACAGTGTAAAATCACCTGTCATTCTGAAATTGCCTTACCTCCTCTCATTATTAGAGAAGTGAATAAAGATTTGCTGTTCTACGTCTCTCTTTGCCTAGGAGTTACTACAGCTTGCAGTGCCATGCAGGGTTCCGTAGTGACCTGACCTAACTGAGGGTTCCTCTTGGACAGGGTTTCTGTTCACTCCTCTTTCAGCTGTAAGATAATGGCTCATGCCTGTTGAGGGGAGGTTAGATTAATTTATTGTATCATGTTTAGTCCTTGTAATGGTGTACTGGTAGGTTTGGCAATTGCTTTTGCTTGCTTCATTTTCAACTGGATATTACAGTTGGAAGGCATGCTAGACGTGCTTAATTTTGGCATGAGACTAATCCCAAAGGTAATGAAGTTGGAGACTCTGATACGTTAAAGTGAACTCCAGTGTACAGGCCATCCAGCCAGATTAATCTAAACATGGATGAGAGTCAAAGTACTAGATCCCAAATCTTGCCAAACGCTTGTTTTGAGTTTACTTCAGAATTCTGATACTCTACTTCATTATTGTTACAATGCCGTTTCCAAACCACAACATAAAACCATTTACGCTCTCTGCAAATTTAGCAACCTGAATTCAGCTATGGAAAAAACCTCAGCACAGCACATTAAATCAAATAGCTTGGGGCTGGGAGAGTGGGAAGGGACCTGGAGTCAGGTAAGTCCATGTGTGCTGTGCTGGATGGCTCTGCATCAGCTCATTTCTTTGTGCAGACATATACTGACTTCACCAGAAGCAACTCTCAGCAGAGTTAAAGATCTGAAAGCAGTACTTCTCCCTTACACATCTGCTTCCAGGGTTAAATGAAGACAGAATGCAATGGGCATGACAGTAGGTATTAACTTGCAATTCACGAAACATGTATGTGATCTGGAGGCTCTTACCTTGCTCAGGTACCATGCATGTCTCCTAATTACCTTTGTTTTTGCTGCTAGACCTAATCAGATACCTGATTCTCATAATTAGAACTCTGATGTCTACTCATATCTCTGATTTCCCACACCTAAGCTTCTTGCTTCAGCTGTCAGCTCATGTCCTGTACGTACAATATCTGCATTTTTACTGCTCAGAATAAGAGAATATCCTGAGTTGGAGAGGACCACAAAGATCCACCTCCTGGACATACAAAGAGAATAAACTGAAAAAAAAACATATTAAAGAAATGGAATCATTATGGGGCAGACTTACCTATCTTTTCTTACTCAGCTTGCCACATCAACAGAGATTGTAGGATATGGGAGATAGAGAAGAAAGAAATTACCTGATGGAGACCTGGGGAGTGAGGGAAGGCGGGGAGGGCACAAAAGCACATGGTGAGATCTATCAGAGTTTATGCCATTTATCATTTTGTCTGCAGGAGTTTTGGTACAGACTTTGTAGGAGTGTATTTGGTTAGACTCTGTGTTCCAGGGGTTGTCCAGCAAAGCCTGGCAGCTGCTTCTGTGATCCAGCAAGTCATGTTCACTCCTGCTCTTTTGAGACCTGTGTGCAAAATGGTGGTTGCTGGTGCTGGAGGAGATGCTTGAAGCTGTGCTCTGGGAAGCAGTGAGGAAGGAATTGCCCACCGTGATTGGGGGGAGGCTCTGGGTTCGGATAGGCAGAAGACCATGACAGTCTGGAGGCTTCTGTTCTGGTATGAGGTACTTTGTGTCTGTGCTCCTTCTTTTGAAGTCAGTGGTGGTCACACACTCATCCAGGATGTCTTTGCAGTTTGTGTCCATGATGCAATCAAAAGTGGTGATGATGTCGTCTACTTCCGAAGTCTCTTCTGTAGGATATCTGTCTCTGCTTCTATCTTTCTGATTGGTTTTCTGGTCCTCTTTCTTCTTTTTGCAGGAGAAGATGTTGTTCAGCATACTGAATCTTCCTTCTTTCTTTAGGATTCTATTGTTTGGAGAGGGAAACTGATGAACCAGCTCAGATCTACTGGAAGTACAAATCAAAATGTGGTGCCATTACTCAGCAAAGAATGAAATAAACACTGCCTGTGATAGACCACGAAATGGGGTACATACTGTTCAGATACATTTCTAGGGGTGGCTCACAGTGGGAGAAAATAAGGAGTCCAAATATGTAATTAACAAAGACTGAAAATGATACTGCATTACTTCACTCTTTCTGGTGGGGTTCATTGCATTACACTTATCTTCAAGCAGACTCAGTGCAGCTATCAGGAAAAAAAAACAACAAACTTTTCTGGCTTCAGTATCTACCAGCTGCAGAATCATTATCCTTAATAGTGAGGCAAGATCCAATAACAACAAGAAGAACACACAGGGATCTTTAAAACCAAGTAGTCTTTGTATTATGTCATATTAGGAAAATGATATTTCCAACAATACAGTCATTGCTAACACTGTGAGAAAGACACTACTTCACATTTCTTTTCCTTTCCTTTTCTTGCCTTTCCCTTGCTTGCCTTATTATTTTTTTTTTTTTGGGGGAGGTCACCAACCCGTGTATTGAACAGGCCTGGCACAGTTTCAGAAGACCTATCAAGATAATTACCTACAGTGGTGTTGCTGTAGTGGTTTTTAGATGAGATTTTGACTAATCAGCTTTGCAGACCTCCTCAGGCAGAGCGCAGCGCAGTAGTAGTAGGAGGAGATGTAACACTACCCATGTCTCACCATTTATAACACAGGAAATAACACTGCCTGCTGACTGGAAAGGAGGGGCAAGCACAAAGAAATGTGATGATAAATGTCTTTGTAAGTGTGTGCTCGTTTACCAAAGTTGTAGAACTGAAATGAATTAAATGACAGCTGCTGAAACCTGAGAAATATGAAGAAAGAGGAAGATCATAAGCAATGGTAAAAGAATTATATCTTTTTTAACAGAAAAAAAAACCAACAGGATAAGAAGAGATAATTGAAGTAGAGAACTGAAGTAGTCTAAGAAAATAATCCCAAGCCCTTACCATGAACATGAAAATTTAAAATTTATTTTACTATCTGTCTGGCAAAACTATTTTTTTTTTCTTTTCAATCTATCTCTCTGTCTGATTACATGAATACACAGCCAGTGTGCAGAGATTTCAAAAAAGCAGAGGTCATATAACTAAAGGCTGAAAGATAAATCTAAAGGCTGTAGGATAGATTTTGTGCACAAAGGTGTCTGAGCAGTAGCTATACCCACATTGTCTTGGTTCAGAACCCTCCACTGACTGGCAGACTTACACTGTAACCACAGTGATGAGTCTTCAGTAGATGACTAATTCTAACGTTGCTATCTTTGTGGAAAATTTGGGTTCAGTATTGCATATGAATTGAGCCATCACACAGGGCTCAAACCCCTCAGCAGCATACAGAAAGTAATGAATTTATTTTCTAGTCAGTGCTAATATGAGCAAAGTGTGAACTTTTCCTTTACCTGCTCTCCTGAGACAGCAGCTTGATGCACGCTGTGTGACCACAGTACATTGCATATGTCAGAGGAGTGTTTTCATTGATGTCTCGAGGGCTGCTGTCTATCCCCAGCTCTAGCAGTGTCTGCACACAGTCAGCTTTCCCTGCTGCTGCAGCCCAGTGCAAAGGCGTCCTAGGGAAAATGGGAAAACATCATTAAAATAAATTAACAATTGTGCTATGTAAACTGTTAGTGACACAATGAGGTGTGCTCCTATGCTACTTGTCCAGATTCACAACATCCATTTTACGGAATTCTTCAGCAATTTATCCCACATTGATGTAGTTCCCAGTAGTAGGAATAAAACCATAGACCAGCATCTGTCTACGTGCATCTATTTGGCTGTAATAAAGGTAGATATGGTGCTGAAGGATGCCAATGCATGCTATATGATAGCATCACTTCCACTGCTGGAGCTGTAGAGTGGGAGAAGCTTCTGAGGTTCTCAGAGCAGAATTTGAAAAAAAATCTTTGTAGTGTCCACCACAGAGGGACAAGCCCTTCTCATCTTTACAGCAAACACAATTAGCCATGGTGGGCATGAAGGCAATAGGAAAAGAAGCCTCTCCAAAACAAGTAGAAGGACTGGACACATCTACCAGGCTGTCATTGTCTCTGACAATTTTTATGTTCCTTGGTGGGCACAGACTGGACAAGGTATAATTGTCTTGAATTTAGAGGGAGAATCAAGCTGATTTTCTTATTGGCAGTGGATGCTCATCTTTCTAAACTTTTGTCCACTTTCAAAATTGTAATACTTCACTCTTGTGAAATCTCTGAAAGCACAGAAAAAAACACAAGGAAAATGTGCAAGAAGAAAGAATAAAATTGACTTTTCTGTGCCCTTTCTTGCAGTCACAGTGATTTCAGATGGGTGCAGTCAGAAACAGCATGGAATGGAAAAGTACTGTGTATTTGTATTTAACAGCTTATCTTTTCCCTTCTTCAAGTGTGATACCTTCTATGGAAATACCTACGAACACGTAATAGAAGGTACTTTCTTTACTGAACTCTTAACTGTAGTAGCTCCTCCCCTCCCTCTTCTTTCCACAGAAACAGAGCCTTCTCTACTACGCTTTCCCAATGTTTAGAAACTTCTCCAGAACTCTGTTGATTTTATTTCTGTTCCATTTTATTGGATTTTTCCATGAAGAATGCTATTATTTTAAGTACCTGAAGACCTAAGCCAAGAAAACTTTGGCTTTTGCTCCACTGAGCAGGATAATCAACCCAGACTGGGCAGTTGGGTCTATTTGCATTAATTAACTTTGCAGCAAAATTCCAAGGGACATGGATATGGTGTGATACAGGAATTTATGATACAGTGATTTCATTTCCCTTGTGAGAATAGAAGGCAAAGGCTCCCTGGTCCTTCTAGGAATGCTGTGTTAGCATCTGATCAGCAACAAGGGAATGTTGCCGTGTCTTGTATGCAAATAGCAGCAGGATCACAGCTTCAAGATGTAGGATCCTGTTCTATTGTTTTGAGAAGAATGCCCATTTTGATTGAAAGAAGTTAAGTCAAGCAGTGACAAAGTCCTTTCACATATAGTCTTATCATTTCCTACCAGAAACACAAAGTTAAATAACATTCCTAGTAGCCAGTTATTATACTAGATGTGAGCAGGAGTGCTTTGCCGGGTTTCTGAGCAAACACAGTTTTCTGTAAGTGCAGTTCATTAACTAGGCCATGGCCTGTGAAACAGGAAACATGATTACAGAATAAACAGACCTAGTCTCAGGTTAATAGAAAGGAAGCAGCAATTTCAGTTTCAGAGTTTCCATGGTTACCTGTCATCCACATCAAGGGCCTGCAGGTTGCACTCCGGGACTTTAGCCAGCTCGCTGATAATATCACTGTAGCCTGCTGCAGCAGCAATGTGCATGCATGTTTTGCCATTCTCATCATCGTAGTTGATTATTGACGGTCCCTGGTAGTGGTCCAGGATGATGGAACAGAGGATCCTGTTGCCACTCTGGGAGGAAGTTCAGAGAAGAAAAGCATTTTACCACGGAGCTTACATCAAACTGCAATTTCTCTGCTAGAGAAGACTAAATACAATAACAGTATTCTGTTTTGTGTATACCAGCCTCCCCAGGTATGAAAGCCAAAAGCTTCCAATCTCCTGCTGGGAATTGGTTTTTACTTTATGAATTTCCTAGCTGCAAAAATAATAAATAATGTACCACTGCAAACATCTCCAAAAGTTACAGAGTGTAAATTACTCAATAGCTTTCTCAGAAATAGCTTTTCTAAGTTTTGCTAAGGCAGAGTCTGGAACAATATGAGCCGATATTTTTCATAGAAATTTAACATTGGAAGGGACCTCAAAAGACTAACTCATGCCTGTAAGCCTGTCCAATTATACGCGGAAAAGCCGTACCAAACATTTGCTCGAGTGGTTCTTGAAACCACCTGCTTCTTAGCAAGTTTGCTCCAGTGCTTCAGTATCTTAACAGAAAATTTACATTGTTTTCTAACCTGCAAGGGAAACTGAACATTTTATATCCTATCTTCGATACAAAGTGTGTATATATATACATATATATATATATTTAACAATATAAGCAATAGACTGTAAAGGTCTTTCTAGATCATTACATTCAATCCCTGCAGTCACTTGTTGCTATGTTATATCATCCCGTTCATGAGCGTAATGTGTCCATTAGAAGCAATTAGTTTTCTGTCCCCACTATTCCCTATGGATGGCAGTTGAAGAACTTGTTTGCTTTAATGGCTGTATCTCTAATTTCTATTCATACTCATGGTTGGTCTATGTCCCTTTATTTTTGTGCCATCATTATTATTTAGATTAAATACTTCTTTCCTCTAACTGGTATTTATTCCTCAGATGTATTTACAGAAAACCATAATATCCCTTCTGAGCTATTCTCTCGCTGCTTTAATAAATCAAGATCTTTCCAATTTTCCTTGTAAAATATACTTTCTATTTTCTCTTACATCATACTAGCCTCTTTTCTTTTATGTTTCAGTTGTGTATCCTTGGGAAGGGGTGAATAAAATTGTATCTAATATTGTTGAGATATATTGTTGAGAGATATTGTTGCCAGGTTTTTGTACTAGATCTAGCTCTTCCTTGTTTCGGTTAGAAGTGCCTGTTTTGGCATGTCACAGAAAAGCATTTGCCTTATTCACAGCTGTATCCCATTAGAAAAAGCTCCTAGTCATTTTAGAGTAACCCTTTATGTCTAGGTACTTCTCTTCCCTAGTCATTTCCAAAAGCAGGGTTTCTAGTTTGCATGAAGAACGTCTATATTAGTACCCAAGTTCATGATTTAAATGATCTATGCTATTCAGTTCTGTCCCATTGGTATTATTTCAGATTTCAAGGTGATCCCACTTTCCCTGTATGATATCCCCATTTTCTTCTGTTAATGCTTTGCTGCTGTTATTTTGTTTGTTTGTTTGTTTGTTTTGTTGTGGGCAGACTTCACCAGAAAGCCCCTGTATTTTGTGCCAAGTTATCATGAAGTATTAAGCAAGACAGATTTCAAGCCTTGTCCCTGAAGGTACATTCCTTCCAGCCTCTGTTCAGCATTAATTATTACTCTTCTTGATCTTGGAGATACAAGTACTTTTCCCCTTTATTTTCTAAGATGTCTACTAATTCCAAATATTTCTTTGAAAGATGGTTAGTAATCCAGCTATAAGTGAAGCCTCTTCTACACATTTTCCCTTCTCTTTTAGGATGCAGATTCCTGACATATTTCACAGCATGGATAGAAGAAATCCTGTGGCTTTGGAATAGTTAGGACCCAGAGCTTCTCTGTCCAGATAAGAATTCCATTAATTTAACAAAATGTGTCCCTTTGAAATCAATAATTTTATTTTGTATGTACTTTGTTTATTTGCCTATTCAATTTAGAGTCTACTTACGTTCATGCCATACGAGCTTATTTTCTATGACTAGGCATGCTAAAATTGTCATTAATTCTTCATTGTCTGAATATCTGATGAAAAAAGTGTTGATCTTTATGTTCAAGTATACCTAGGTCTCATGAATAACAGTTGTTTCTATTCTCCAGTTCCCGTGCCAAAAGTCAGTGCTGTCCATACTAAAGTAATTCTGCAGTACCTTACTATTTCAGCATTAATGCTCTAATGATGCTACCATTCCTCTAACCTCACACTGTCTTGCTAAATCACAATTCTACATCCTGCACCTACAGTTTCCGTCCCTTAATATTCGTGCATAACTCTTAGAAATAATTTCTTATAAGAAATTTTCTACTGTTCTTACTGGCGTTTTATATATTTACACACTGTTTTGTCTCTCACCAATATTCCATTTTCTAGACTAAACAAACCATTTCAACCTCTCTTGATGGGTCAGGTTTTTCAACCCACTTATCATATTTGCCTTTGGCCTCCTTCCAGTTTGTCTACAGTGTTCTTCAACCATGGCACCCCAAATTACATAGTTACCCAGCTGTGGTTTCAGTTCTGCCATAAAGAAGGAAATTGCTGCTTCCTGTACCCCACATGTATCACACTTTTATTAATATGTCCCAGAACGATGTTTGTTTGTTTTGCATCAACACCACAATTTAAACTCCTAGTCACTTCATAACCCACTAGTCTACTAGTCTACTACTCTTCATTTCGTGCAGACATCTCTCACTTTTCACAGTTCTGTACATGGTACTATTTTGTTAATTTCAGTTCATCCCTACAATTTATCAAAACCATTATGAATTTCACCATGTTCCACCAAACACATGTCCCATCATGCTTGGTGCCCCTCTAATCTGCTTCTACTTTTGGGTTAAATACATGCTTTGCATTTCATCACATTGTTATGGAACAAATAAAAACATTCTTATGATAAGTTTCCACAAAAGAGACAACCTAGGAGTCCTGGTGGACTCCAAGTTGAAGATGAGTCAGCAGCGTGCCTTCGACACTGAGAAAACTGATGGCATTCTTGTCTGCATTAGGCAAAGTATTACCAGTAGGTCAAGAGAGGTGATCCTTTCCCTCTGCTCAGCCCTGGTGAGGCCACACCTGGAGGACTGTGTCCAATTCTGGGCTCCCCAGTACAAGAGAGACATGGACATACTGGACAGGATCCAATGGAGGCCATGAAGATGATGAAGGGACTGAAGAACCTCACCTATAAGGAGAGGCCGAGAGAGCTGGGATGCTCAGCCTGGAGAAGAGGAGGCTCAGGTGGATCTCATCAATGTCTATAAATGCTTGAAGGGAGGGTGCAAAGAGGATGGATCCAGGCTCTTTTCAGTGGTGCCCAGTGCCAGGACAAGGAGCAGAGGGCACAAACTGGAACACAGGAGTTTCCATCCAAACATCAGGCAGCACTTCTCTACCCCAGGGTGAGGGAGCCCTGGCATAGGTTGCCCAGACGGGTTGTGGGGTCTCCTTGTAGATCTTCAAAAGCCACCTGGACATGGTCCTGGGCAGCTTTCTCTGGGTCTCCCTGCATGAGCAAGGGTTGCAACAGGTAATCTCTAGAGGTCCCTTCCGACTTAAATAATTCTGAGATTCTGTGAAGGCTCTGGTGGGACTGTCCATGAGGTGTCCACATCCAAAGCGTATTTGAGCTGTCCTGATCATGTCACATGGGGAATATGTAATGTATGGTATAAGTCCCCATGTTGATTTTGATTGTATTACCCTGTCGTGTTCTTCCCCACTGGGACACACTATTTTTGGACTGAATCCTGAGTCTATTATAGCAGGCTGTGCTTATACAAATTGTCCTATGGACTTCTTCATTGTGATGTACTGCTTGAGGTAGAAAGGGACAAAGAACTGGACTTTTTATGATAACTCTATTCGCCGCCTGCTTAACAAGCTTTCCATACCATGTGATGAACTTTATCTTGTTGGCCCTTTTCTAATAAGTCTGTTTTTACCAGACGGTATTACACCGATTTATTGGAATTCTAACATCCCATATCCAATAGCGTCTTATCTGAGGAAACAATGATAGTTTTGAAGATGTCTGTTAAGCTTCTATCCTGTTTTAAAATTCCAGTAAAGTTTTTGTTTGTTTGTTCAAAGTCACCAAAGACTATTTAGAATATTTTGAATGTTCTTCTGAAAGAAATCTGTGGCCAACTGGTCTGTGGCTTCCCAGCTCTCTCTTTTCAGGAGTGCCTTCTTACCTTTACATTTATCTTGGCTTTTTTAAATTGCACGCAAAATTCTCGTGAAATGCTTACATTTCCCTTATTCTTGGATTGACAGCTTGAAGCTGAGGTCACCAAAAATGTCATCTTCCTGTGGTAAATTTACTATGAACCCACAGTACTGTTGTTAGACTAGGATGTTCAGTGGTAAATCTACCATAGGAAAATTACATGTTTTTTTAAATCTTATTGTGTGTATCTCTATATTTCATCATCTTCTTCTTTTTTTTTTCTTTCATTTTTTTTTTTTTGTTCTTCCTCTGCCCTCCCCCCCTCCCCTCTTTTTTTTTTTTTTTAAATTCAAAACCTTTTCAGCATTGTTCTGAGATTAATAGTTATTTTTTGGTTTTGTGTTTCTATCTCATTCTGTGGGGATCCCAACAGTTTTGTCCCATCTCACACCCTTCAGCTTCCAGCCCTTATTCATTCCCTTGACAAAACTTTCTTAGGTAACTCATCATAAAAAACTTAATCAAGAAGAAATGTCCTAAAGCTTTGATACAGGTGCCCTTGAAAAGCAAATTCTCAATCTACTTTATACAAGATTTTGTTTGAAACATGTGTCATCTCCAGACAGTGGTTAACAACAAATTCACAAATGTAAGGTTCGCTAGCTATCACTTTTGCTTGATTAAAACCTCATTTTCTTTAAACTGGTGAATATAAAGTCCAGCTTCTGACAATTGCATCTCTGCTCTCAAAACAAGAAAATAATTCTTCAAGAAATATCCACTGTACCAAATACCATGAGGAGAATCCTACATATTTGGGATGTTTTTCTTGTTTTGACTTTTTTTTTTTTTTT